TTTAAATGATGTCACTGACAGCCTTTGTTAGGTACCCTCCGTCTCTGGCAAGGAGTCTGTTGTTTTTGTATTTTAAGTCTTGTTCCAGATATCCAAATCTCATTTTTAGCCACATCTTCTCAGATAGTTTGTGTTCTTCCAGTTCCTTCCTCCAGAGCTTTTCTTTTTCTTTTTTTTTTTTTTAGGCAGTTGGGGTTAAGTGACTTGCCCAGGGTCACACAGCTAGTAAGTGTGATGTATTTGGTCTGAGACTAGATTTGAACTCAGGTCCTCCTGACGTCAGGGCCGGTGCTCTATCTGCTGCTTTTATTTCTTTTTAAATCCCTTAGTTGAATTCCAGAGTTTCCAAGGTCCCCATCCCTGTCGCTGGACATGGTGAGAGACAGCAGTCTGGTTTGCCTGGGCGGGTGCTGCCTTTGGTGGCTTCTTTTCCTTGTGCTTGTGAGATTCTGGTTGTCTTGTTGTGTAGTTCTGGGGTAAGAGAAGTCACCTATTGCAGTGTGCCATTGGGTTTCTCTCTTTTTAATTTAAATCTTATTTACTTTTGTTACATTTCAAGTTCCAAACTGTCTCCCTCCCTCCCCCTGCCCCCTCACCCCACACTAGAGAAGGCCATCATTTGACAAAGATTTATAAATGTGTGTAAACCACGCTGTTCACACTTCTGTTTATCAGTTCTCTCTCTGGACGTGGGCAGCATCCTCCTTCATAGGTCCTTTGTAGCCGGTTTGACTACAGCTCAGTCGTTCACAGTTACTCTTTGAACAGTATTGTTTGAAATAGTATTGCCCTTACTGTATGTAGTATTTTCTTGGTGCTGCTCATTTCACGCGAGTCTTTCCGTGGTTTTCTAAAATCAGCGTGCTCATCATTTCTTACAGCACAGTAGTATTCCGTCACAATTGTATGCCACGATGTGTTTAGCCATTCCCCGATTGATGGACTTCTCAATTTCCAGTTCTTTGCCACCAAAGAGAGCTGCTGTAAATATTTTAGAACATGTAGATGCTTTTCCTTTTTTCCTGATCACCTTGGAAAACAGGCCAGAAAACAGCAATAGTGATATTGCTAGGTCAGAAGGTATACACAGTTTTATAACTCTTTGGTCATAATTCCAGGTTGCTCTTTAAAATGGTTGTTATCAGTTCACAGTTCCACCAACAGTGTATTAGTGTCCCAAGTTTTCTTTTTAAAAATTTTTTTTGTTAATTTTTTTTGATTTATCAACAATCACTTCCATAAGCTTTTGAGTTTAAATTTTTTCTCACCATCTCTCCTCAAAATGGCATGCAATCTGATGTCGGCTTTAAATATACATTCTTATTAAATGTATTTTCACATTAGTCATGTTGTAAGGAAGAATTAGAACCAATAGGAGAAACCACCAAAAGAAGAGGAAACAAAACAAAACAGAAGAAAAAAAAGAGCAAATAGTATGTTTCGATCTGCTTCAAACTCCATAGTTCTTTCTCTGAATGTGGATAGCATTTTCCATCAGGAGACTTTTGGAGATGTCTTAGATCCTTGCATTGCTGAGAAGATCTAAGTGTATCAAAGTTGGTTACTGCACAACATGGCTGTTGCTGTGTGCAACATTCTCCTGGTTCTGCTCACTTCGCTCAGCATCAGTCCATACATCAGTCTTTCCAGGTTTCTCTGAAGTCTACCTGCTCATCATTTCTTATAGCACAATAGTATTACATTACATTCATATAACACAACTTGTTCAGCCATTCCCCAATTGATGGGCATCCTCTCAATTTTCAATTCTTTGCCACCACAAAAAGAGCTGCTATAAATATTTTTGTACATGTGGGTCCTTTTCCCATTTTTATGATCTCTTTGAGATACAGCCCTAGAAGTGTTATTGCTGGGTCAAAGGGTATGCACATTTTTGTAGCCCTTTGGGCACAGTTCCAAATTGCTCTCCAAAATGGTTGGATCATTTCACAACTCCACCAACAATGCATTAGTGTTCCAGTTTTCCCATATCCCCTCCAACTTTGTCATTTTCCCCTTCTATCATTTTAGCCATTCTGTTAGTTATGACATGATATCTCAAAGTTGTTTTAATTTACATTTCTCTGAACAATAATGATTTAGGGCATTTTTTTCATATGATCATATATAGCTTTGATTTCTTCATTAAAAAACTGCCTGTTCATATGCTTGGTGAATGACTATCATTGGATTTCTTGATCATTATTTGATTGGGTACAAACTTCAGGGTTTTGCTGGATTAGGCTTCTGGGAGCTGGGTGGCTTCCATCCAGGTAGTGGTCTTGGCTAGAAGTCCTTAACAAACCATTCACTTCCCAGTCTGCTTTTCTCCTCTGTGACCCTTGTTTTGGTCAGAATCAGTGTTGAAAACACCACCTGTGCCCCTAAAGAGGTTCAGCTTCTCTCCAGAGACTTTGATTCGTCCTTAGCAGTGAGTTCGAGTATTCGTAAAGCATGTGGCTGCACTAAAGGCGAACTTGAAAAAAGTCATTTACTCCAAAGAGGTTGAGTGAGATAGAATTATTGATTTATAAATACCCCACAGCTTTCATTTGTACATTCTTTAGAGGGAGCAAGAAATATGCTAAGGAACAGTTCTTTCCCATCAACTCAACTTGAGAGAAATTTCCTAAAAATCACAGTGGAGTAAGCTTCATGAATTTTCCCACTGCTGAGCCACCGCCATCACCACTGCATCAGTGAGGTGGACGTGGAATACCAAGAGTAGGTTTGCTGCAGGAGAAAGCAAGTCCTGCCCAGTTATCATGGTAGCTTTTTGTTGTTCAGTGTTTTCTCACACAAGGATTGCTAATGGCACGAGTGTTATTGTGACAGTTCCCCCAAATATTTAGTATTGAAAAGGCGTCCTCTTCGTTGGCGTGGTGCAAAGAATTCCAGAATTCCAGTCTGGAGACTGTGTTTAAACACAGACACTTAATAGCTGTGTGACCAAAGTCACTTAACCTCTTTGCATCTGTTTCCTTGCCTGAAAATGGAAATAAAATGAGGATAATAATACAGGCTAAAGGCCTGCCCCAAGTGAATTGTAAGCTCTGGCCATTCCTACCAAATTGGAAAGTCTTCAACGGCCTAATGGGGGACTGGATCAACCTAGCTAAGTTGAGGCTGCAGGATGGTGTAGTTTCCAGCTCCAGCAGCTTTCGCTGACATCACCTACTGAGCCTAGGGACCATGGAAGGAGGACCCTCACAGCCAAGCCTTCAGGTGGGGGCATAACAAAATTCCTACCCATAGTGAGGAAGGTGCTTTATAAAATCTTAAAGCATAAATGAGTTTTTGTTTGTTGTTATCTTAGCACAAGGAAAAGACAATGGGTAACTTAGTCTTTATATGGCACATGCAATTACATTGCTGCTTCATAAAACCTAAAAATACAGTTCTTGCCCTTAGGGAGATAAAAAGCATGCCCAGAATGGCCAGACTTGGTTTTTACGCTCTCCCCCTGTTTATTTACATCTCTCGTAACTGGGGAGTGGGAGGAATGGCCTGGATCTCCCACCCTTCCTTCCTCTTTGTCTTCTCTCTGTTTGCTACTGTTCCCTTAAACTTGATTAAACTGACTAAGAGGCAGCATGGTGTGGCATCCTGGAGAGAAAGCTGGCCGTGGAGTCAGGAAGACAAAGGCTCAAGTGGGACGTGACACGTGTTGCCTGTGTGGCTCTGCAGAGGGCCCCAGGCAGCTCTCCCCAACTAAGCTGCCAAGCCAACTGATCACCATCGGTGGAGACAGTTCCCTACCTGGGCATCCTGTAGAGAGGAAATTGTAAATCACAAAACAAAACACCTCGACCCCTATGACGCAGGCCATTCCTTCTGGTTTCTTTTCCTCTTCCTTTCCTGTATACCTTACAAAAATACTGTACAAGTGATCTTCTGTCAACTTCAAGGATGACAATGTGACTCTCTTAGTAAAAAAACTCTCTATGGTTCCCTGTTGTCACCAGATAGAATTCTTATTTCATCGCCTGGTATTCAAGGCTTTCATAATCTGGGGTCACTTTGCCTTAACACACACTGTTTCCTTTCACAAGCTGGAATGGTGTGATACTAAGTTTTGAACTTGAACTAAGCCCTGAGACCTAAGTTTTAATCCCATCTCTGACTCTTAGTCACTTAATCCCTTTGAAACCTCAGTTTCCTTATCCATAGAAGGAGAGGGTTAGACTGGATGTTTCCTGAGTGCCCCTTCTGCCTCTGATTCAGGGGTTCTTGGCCTTTTTTTTTTTTTTTTAACATTTTGGCAGTCCGGTGAAATCCGTGGACCTCATATCAAAGTAATGTTTTTTAACTCATAAAATAAAACACATAGGCTTCACAAAGAAAACCAATTCTATTGAAATACAGTCATCAGACTATTTTCAAAAAACAAGACAAGTTCACAGACCCCAGGCTAAGAACCTAGCCCCACCTCTGATTTTATGATGCCCGAACATATAGCATTCTTTTTCATCTCCATGTCTTTGTTCATACAACTCCTTACGCCAGCCATGGATGCCCTCTTCTCCCCAGACCCCTCTCCTGACCATCTTTGCCTGTTGACATTACACCCATTTTCCAACTCTAATGTCACCATTTCCGTAGAGCTTTTCCATGCCTGCCCCACCCACTTAAAACCTGGCAATAAATTTTCTCTCCTGACTCATGATCTCATGGCACATTGCGTTACATTTAAATGGCAATTGTGTTTTAATTTGGGTCTCTTTATCTGTGCGTACACTTCACCTCCCCCGTTAGAGTAGAAGCTCCTTGAGGACAAGAGTATATTGCAGAGATAATCCTTGTTCAGGTGTAGGTTGGACCAGTTGCTGGCCCCTGAGATTCCTCTGAATTCTGAGGTTCTGGGTTTTGTCTGTCTAGAATGCAGGGTAGACTTGTAACAAATGGTGGAATTGTGTTATTGTTGCTCTGAATGTGCTGTCTCCTTTCCCCTTAATCCGGTGGTAACTTTTGACCTGATCTTGGTCTCTTGTGTTTCCCAGGCTGGCAGTGATGGTGAGAGCATAGGAAACTGTCCCTTCTCCCAGAGGCTCTTCATGATCCTTTGGCTCAAAGGAGTGGTGTTCAGCGTCACGACTGTAGATCTGAAAAGGTAAGGAAGCTCGGCACTTTTCTCTAATAAACTTCAGCTCTCCTGAGTTACTTCACAAACATTGCTTGGTTTAACATCACAGGAGGACCGCTTTGCACGGATTGGAGCCTCTTGGATGCAATCCCGATTCAGTCTGCAGAATCAGCCACTCATACATCTCCTCCTGCTAGAAACTGCTCTGGTTCTGGCCCAGTTTTATCGAGCAGCTCTTTGGAGCTGAGTTTGAGCTTGAAGACCATGCATTCTTTTCGAGGATACTTTCCAAGGACAGCAGGGAACCCATAAGAAAGTGGCTTTCTTGCCAGGCTCTCTGGACACTCCAGCAGAGGCTGTGAGCTTCTTATACATCGCCCTTGTGTCCCTGGAGCTCCTTACTAAGGAACAGAGGCCAGGTGGTGTGGTGGGAGAAGTACTGGACCTGGACACCCGAGGTCTCCCTCGTCCTGGCCCTGCCACTCATTGGCCCTCTGGGACTTTGGCTGAGTCACCCCTCCTCCCTGGGCCCCACCTTCTTCATCTGCAAAATTGTGGGGGGGCTTGAGGAATTTCTTGATCGACTCCATTTCTAAAATGTGCAGATGGAGAAAATGAGGACTGGGTGGAGTATAGCCAGAATTATCTAACCTGTGACTTGAAAGGGGTTTGGCTTGTGTATGTCATGTTCAAATAAGAGTCCCTATCCGTGGTCTCACCGATCATGTGGAGGGAGCTATTTTTAGCGCCTCCTGGAAGGGTCTTGGCAGTTAGTCAGGAGGCACGTGCAGTCCGCTGAACAGTGGGTCTGTGTGCTTAGGGGCTTGTCCTGGTACAATCTGGTAGTAGACAAGCTTGAGGTGGGAATGCGGGCAGAATCCCAGGGCAGCTTCCAACTGGCCAAGACCACTGTAGCCATCAGGGACTGTGTCCAGAGGGCCAGCTGTGCGAGACACCGCATTCATGTCAGCCAGCTTTTTGAAGAATGGTGAATGATGAATGCAGAAGTGCACACTGGGACACTGTCAGTGTGTCTGTGACAGTTGGGGCATGTTCTCGTGGGGTCTCTCTCTGGCTTCAGTCTCGTTGTGTCATCTTCTTGCTGTAAGGACATGCTCTGTGAACCCTCACATCATCTTAAAATGGGTGTGGTGGTTTGAGCTGTCCCAAGGTGGGGTATGTCATGCCCAGCTGTCCTGTGTCACCCAGAACCTTTGTTTGTAAAGCTTGCTATAATCAGGCTGTCCGGCACATAATCACCTGCCTTCCCTCATGTTTGGCAGATGGGAAATTTTATTTACAGCAAATGGGTGAGGAGGGCTTGCAGGTAGTTTATTTTTATGGCAGTGATTTAGTGGCTCAGTTTGCCCTCACTTACCTAATGCTTTTCCTTGATGCTGCTATTGGGAGTCCTGGGAAGAAATCTCTTCTTGCTGTTACTCCTGCTTTCACAGGAAGGCAGCCTTGGGTTGTAGAAATGGAGAAGGACTCCGAAGGGCCTTTATAATAAAGACAGCCACGGAACGAGAAAGCGTGGAGTCTGTGAGGTGGATCAGAGAAAACCCTCTGTAGAGCATCAGGGGCAGGCGGGCCTCAGAGAGCTTTCCTCCTCCCAGCTCCATGAAGTTCTTGATGCTGCTGTTAGCTCACTTTTACAGATGAGGAGAGTGGCTGGGGTCATGCAGGTCTGAGCCTAGGCTCTGTATGCTGGGGTCTGGGCCGAGCCACGGGTGGGAAAGCAAGCATTAACCACCCGCTGCCAGAGGGGGATGACCTCACCGTGGAGCTCTTGGAGGAAGGCAGCCATCAATGTGGCCACCCTGCATTTGGAGTGAGTTTCCTCTACGTTCAGATCGTTCAGGGAGACCCTGAGTAGAACTGGACAGATCCCAGCCCCAAAAGGAAACATCCCAGGACAGCTCCTAAGAATAGACACTGCTGCCAGGCACACGCCCTGACTGCGTCTGAAAATACTTGGATTTTTCCTATCCCATTTTTGGCCTGGAGCAAGTGAATGGGCTGCTTTACTCCATACAGTGCTTGATTGTGATACTTTCACCAGGAACTCTTAATTGAGCTATGGAAACCCACAGCTCCAGAAAGGACGTGGCCCCAGCCCTGGCCCAGGTGTTTGAATAATGCTGCCCTGGCCTCTGTGTTCTCCACCCCTCAGGTAGATGAGGCAGCACTAAAATAGGGGCGTATTTGTGTGCTCAGGAACTTGCACAAATGTTTCTAACAGGAGAACACTGTATTGGGGGAAGTACAGCTTTCTAGTGGCTTTTCCCCTTTTTTTTTTTCCCTCAAATTCTTGGCTTTGGAGATCTTTCTTTTTCCTGGTACACTCACAAAGTAGCTCTTAAGCACAATGTGATTTCCACAGGAAAAGTGAAGAAGTAACTAACACACACACACACACACACACACACACACACACACACTCTGCATTGCTTTTAAAATCCAAATTCAGTGAAATCATTTAAGAGAAACAAACTATCTCATTGCCTTCAACTGCTCCAGTATATCAGTGCAGTGTGGTTCCCTGATCCGTGTGCTCTTGTGTCCTTGGCACATCTGACCCGTGTCCTTCTCTCAGTCTACCCATTGAGTTTTCTTCTTGTTCTTTAATGGGGGAGGAGAGGAGCTGCTCATCTATTATCCCCTCCTTTTCAACACGCGATTGACCTTTTCTGAATAATCGTGTCTCTGGTAAGGCCCTTTACATCACAGGTTAGGTGCAAGGTATCATTGGTGATGTATTACCAGTATGGCCCTTTGGCTTTCTGAGATCATGATGGACCATGATTTGCAGCCATGGTAGTATTACTAGGAGAGAATACTGATTTTAAGGAGATGAACTTTTGCATCAGTGAGGACTTTTGGATTATTGAAAGTGCTGTACAAAGAGCCTAAAATGTCTTTTGTAAAATGTCTTGGGCTAAAAAAATTATGACTATTTTTTTGCAAGTGTGTGGGTGAAAAAGGTCTATGGTGTACTCATTTTCCTGCCTTTAAGGATAAGTGCTCACTTCTAGAGGGTTTGAAACAAAAACAGTCCCCTAAAGAGACCGATGGGGAGTATCGGGCTCTTAGAAATCAGTTCTACATGTGGATAAAATGAATGTCACATGACATCTTATCTATAAGAACAAATCATTTCCCAGCTGTGGTTGGCCCTGTGGGACATCTTTTTCGAATTGCTGTCTATGCTAATAGCTCTGCTGGTATTCGTAGAACCCTATGGAGTCTTTGAATTAATTTCCTTAGCTTGATTGCCAGTATAAACATGACTGGTACCTTGAGTGCTTTTGTGGGAGTTGTTTCTATGAAAAAGAAAAAAGTAAATCCAAACCTCATTTTCTGTTCATGTTGCATACTGTATTTAGAGAACTGAGAGGGAAAACAGATCTTAAAGAATCAAAAGCTCCAAAAGAATTGAGAGTTCCCCTGACATGATCAGAATCTTAGGCTGCCCTTGGCTGCAGGAAAAAGGGTAAAGGGACACAAGCTGCCGGATGCTGCCTGCCCAGTGTTCTCCCAGTGCTGTTAGGCTTTGGCAAGTCTAGAGCCCTGGGCTCTCAGAAGGATCAAACTTGTGGACGACTCCAGTGGTTGACATGGGCTGGGCTGTAGCATGTCACCAGGGAGGATTCGTGTATGAGAATGTTCAGGATATCTGTGTTGAGGATCCGTAGGACGAGAAAAGTAGGGGGGGCTGGGCCCCACAGCCCAGGAGGGAGGCTTCTGGTCCCTCCTCTGTGAAAGGTTTGGGAGAAGGAACAGGGAGACTGGACGTGCCTGGTGGGAGAGCACTCACACCTCTGCTCCTGCATCCATCAGAGTGTTAAAGCATGAGGGTGAATATTACTTACTTTCCTCAGATGTTGTAGCAGTACCAGGGCTGTACAGGACTTGAGCTTTGGTTATCAAATGAGATGATATCTGTAAGGTGTTTAGCACTGTGCCCGCACAGAATAGGTGCTTAAAGTGCTTGTTTCCCTCTGTCCTTTCCTTCTTCCTTCCTCCCTCCCTCTCTCTCTCTCTCTCTCCACCCATTCCTCTCTTCCTTCCTCCCTCCCTCTGTCCATTCCTTCCTTCCTTCTTCCCTCCCTCTCTCCATTCCTCCCTTCCTTCCTCCCTCCCTCCCTCTCTCCATTCCTCCCTTCCTTCCTCCCTCTCTCTCTCCATTCCTTCCTTCCTTCTTCCCTCCCTCTCTCCATTCCTACCTTCCTTTCTCCCTCCCTGTAGTTCCCTTCCTTCTGACAAGTGTCCATGGCAGTGATCCAAATTTGGGCTCAAGCTCTTTATACAGCACCCTGCAGCTTCCTGAAATTCTCCACATCAGTTATCAGTAGCCTTTTTATTATCTTTAGTGTCACCAGAAGGCACAGATGAGTACTATTGACAGACTTAAGAGAAAGAACTACGACCACTGGGTAGAAGCTACAAGGGGACAAACAAAAGGGGGAAAAATCCTTAAAACTTAGGAGACGTTCCATAATGAAATGAGCTGCCCAAGGATGTAGAGCATTCTCTCTCCCTGGAAGTTTTCAAGCAGACTCTGGATACTGGGCTCTAGGGGAAGCAGAGGAGAGTCTTTATTTAGTTAGGGTCTGGGCTAGGCCCCTTTTAACTGAGAGTCTGATTCTAAGAAAATCCTAACACTGCCTTGCATCCCTAATTAATAAAGGATTTCCCTTGCAATAGGTTAGGGAGTGCAAGGATAGTTCTTTTTGGAGAGGATAAGGAGGTTGAGACCTCCTGGGGTTGAGTGTAACTAGTCTAAGGTCATTGAGCTAGCAGGAGGCAGAACTAGATTTGTATCCAGATTTTCTTACTCCCAAGGCCAGGGGATAGGGGGAAAGGTCAGGGCCCAGGGAAGAGCTGCTAGGACATGGTGGAGGGATGGTCTTATTGGATCAATTACACTGGTTTTGAGAAATGAGGATTAGAATGGCAATTGTTGTGTATACAAGAGATCCATCCTCTTTCAGAATTGTTGACATGTATGCCATTGCTAATGGGAA